CTCGCTCCCCCTGCCGGTCCAAAACCTGGCCAGTGGCATCTTCCACTGGCACCTGTACAGGTGCCAGTGGAAGATGCCTCAAATTGTTCCTGCAAATTTCAGGCAGGGGCAATTGAGCCTACCTGCTAAGCAGGGCGAAGAAACATATTCTCTGAGCCAGTAGGAGGCACAGGAGTGTCCAACTGTAAACGTGCCAGCAAGGCCTTCCGTGTAGTCCTCACTGAACCGTCCACCGATGCGTTCAGAGGCAATATCACTGCCTGAGTTACGGGGCTCATCGTCCAGCATGTCACTTGGTTGTTGTTTAGATGGGGAGAAAGCCTGATTGAGGGTGTCTGAGGCAGCCACAGACATCACGACATCGCAGTCAGGTGTCTGAATATGTGGGCCAGAAGGTGACAAGGAGGCAGGCAGTCCAGGCTGCTCCTCATTGGGACTTGCCTGCGCCACTGCTTGATGCACGTTCCATGCCTGCCAGACATGCTTGTCTTATCGTAAGCGGCATCAGCGCACAGGCAGGACAAGGATCGGACATTGCCTCCTGCTGTATACTGAGGCACTCAGCGCAGCGGTCGTATGAATCCATTACTGTCAGCTTGACAGTTTGTGATAAACCAAACGAAAAACCTCCTGAAAACGTCCCTGAAAAACTTGGCAGAGATTCAGTGAAGTTAACAGGAGCAACTAACTCGAGTAAAGAATCTTACCTTTGTGACCAACAGCTCGTGCAGAGCAGAGTCCTACTGAGTCCTCTTTAGTGTTCACGAGCTGCACTGTTCTGGAGGAAATAGAACACAAATTGTCCTAACACTTGCAATGTTGCTATTTTGCAGTTGGGATTTTGAGTTACAGTCCAACTGTAATTATTGCCTGCATGATTTCCTATCCATTTTAAATAGGACATAAGTCTGGACTACAGACTTGAAGTAGTGACATTGTGGTATTTTGTTCCTAGTAAAATATCCAGAAGAAGTCATGTGAAGTTTGTACAATGTATGACAGTTGTTTTGACTATAAATGGGAGTTGAACTTATATTGTACACTTTTTCCCCAGTAGCAGTTTTCTCTACCGTTACAGTATATCTGCGGTTATCCTCTGCTCAGTGTTTTAGGATAGGCTGAGTTCTCCACTGATGTATACACAGGCAAATGTGGGAACACACATCCATAGTCAGACAGAACAAGACAGAGAGAACATGTTGTGTATACCCTAACTGCCTGAAAAGCAGGTGGCAATATTTGCTATTTTTGAAGCGCACCAGTGATTGTTTAGCTCTGCTACTAGTTGTAGCCAGAGGAAGATATGTAAATAAATGAACAAAAGTAAGTGGATCAATGTTGTTGTAGTTGTTACAGAGAAGAGAAGAGTCTTGTGAAGTTGTTCACAAGCACCTCCGCCCATTCCAAGCTGTAAACCTATGGAAAACAGTGCAGGAGTTAAAGCTTCAGTACAGTGGCATTAAAGTAGTAATGTGTATTGTCTGCTTTTTCCCCTGTCCCAGAACCGCAATCCATCAGTTGCAGTGTACTATACCAACAGAGCTCTCTGCCATGTGAAGCTGCAGCAGCATGACAAGGCTCTAGCAGACTGTAAACATGCACTAGAGCTGGACAGCCAGTCGGTTAAAGCTCACTTCTTCCTGGGCCAGTGTCACCTGGAGCTGGAGAACTATGATGAAGCTATTGGAAACCTGCAAAAAGGTTAGAAAGAAACAAGAAAACTTAGAAAAAATAGAACAATTCATGTAGTATTTGAAAGTTGTGTAAGGAGAGATATCAGTGGGTGTGTTGTGTTATTTTTGTGTATTTCAATAAGAATCAAAGCATTTATTTTAATGATGTTTTCTTTTTGACAGCATACAACTTGGCAAAAGAGCAGAGGCTGAATTTTGGGGATGATATTCCCAGTGCCTTGCGCATTGCTAAGAAGAAACGTTGGAACAGCATTGAGGAGAAACGCATCAACCAAGAAAATGAGCTTCACGCTTATCTAACCAAACTCATACTCGCTGAGAAAAAAAGGTGAGCAGAGTTGCAAGACCAGCATGATATTGTTATTATTTGTATGGTAATTCAACATGATGCATGGTAAAGAATGTCATGTAAGAACATGGAAACCTAGAAACAAAATGAAGTATTCAGATGTAGAACACGGGAGGGTTAAAAAAAGTAATATGAAAATTGGCTAGCTGAGTGAAGTGTCAGTGGGGTTTTTGACTTGAGGAGGAAATCAGTCTGAAGAAAAACCCTTGCTGTGTAGGTCCTGCTGGCTGGACGTCACGTAATTGAAAGTGTAAAAAATGTGTGAAGAATATGGGCAACAATGCTGTGAACCTGCTGCATACTGTATGTACAGTACCAGTGAGAAGTGTGGACACACTTTGTCATTAAATATTTTGTCCTTATTTTACAACTAGAGTAGAGTAGAGAGTAGAGTAGGGCTTTATTCATCCCCCTTGGGGGAAACATACTAGTACAGTAGCAAGTGGCAGTGCAGAAAAAGAGAGAAGAGGAGTTAACACAATAAATAGAGTAAAAAGAACTAAAAAGCAAAAAAGCACTCTAAAATTAAAGTAAAACTTTAGAAACATATACATAATGAACAAGAAAATATACATATTGAACAATAAAGTGGTAGTGAAGGGTGCAGGTAATCAGTGTAAAGAGTTAAACAGTCTTATGGCTGATGGGAGGAAGGACCTGCGGTAGCGCTCCTTCCTGCATTGTGGATGCCGGAGCCTGCCGCTGAAGGAGCTACGCAGGTCCTCCACAGTCTGGTGCAGCGGTTGGGTGGGATTGTTCGTGATGGAGGACAGTTT